TAAAATCAGTCTGATGCATACAGACGTGTGCAGAAGTACTGCAGAAGTACTGCAGGAGCACACGGGTAATGCAACTGTTATTGTTGCTGCCATTGTGAAGCTTGTCCAAACAGTAAGAACAGGGCAGGAAACTATTAGTCCTTTCAGACGGATACTGTGACCTGGGAAAAACCTGTGTCTGCATGGTCAAATGCTAACACGCATTTGTCAATCTTCCAATTATGCTACTGTCGGGGGTTTAACGTTTGTCAAAAACCTTTACTCAGCACTGCTCAGCCTAATTTCTAAGACTATAAAATGTGTGGTTTGCATGAGGAAAGTCAAGAGTGTATGTATTTTTTAAATTAACCTACACACCCTGATCAAGCTCCAGTTTCTGAACACTTTTAACTGTTCATTCACTAACCGACACATAGACTTCCTATTACCGCACATTTCTCATCCCTAAAAGTGGACTCATTATGCTATAAAACTGAAGATTAACTGTAATTCTCCAGTCATCTACTTCCCTTAAAATGCCGCACCACATTTTCTCCACACCAACAGGACATTTTTTTATAATGTACCAGAAAAAAAAACAACTGAAAATGTAACAAAAATGTTAAATCACCAAAGATTGATGCATCTAAGAACCCAACAAAGCTGTTTGCTGCCATTGTGTTATGCAAGCATTTAATTATGTACAGTACATAAATACATATAACAGAGTTAGAAAAGTGTGTGTATGAGAAGAAATGAGTGAGCAATTCATTTTAAGCCATGTCAAAGTCTAGTTTAATGTGAGGACCCGGCTCAGGATACGTCCACACTAACCTGCCTAAAATAGAAAACACAACTTTTTCTCTGCATTTGAGGTTTCTGTACCGTTTGTATGCTTTTTTTATCAAATGACAGAGTTTTTTACAGAGAGGATGAATCTAAATGTCTAAATCTAAAATGATGGCTTAGTGTTTTTTTGTCGACGGAGACTGTGTGGCAGTAAAGTTAAGGATCTTTCTGCCGCTCCCAACAGAAAGTCTATCACAAATAGATTAGGTCATTAAGATGTACTTGATTTCATCAGATGACTTTGTAATAGACTTTTTTCACAGCAGCCATTTTTACATGAACTAGTAGGGTAAACACAAGTTTTGCTAATGATACCAATCCATTTCATTTAGTGTAGCAGAGCCTTTCCATTGAGCCTTAATGGACTTGAATGCAACCGAACCCTAATTAGTATCATTGTTAACACCTGTGTTTACCCTGCTATTTAATGTCAAAATGGCTGCTGTGAAAAAAGTCTATCGTATAATAAAAGCGAGAGTGCCTGCCTGATCAGCAGGTAGTATTTATGAGTTACCAGTTATCAAATCATTATTTTGTGCATGTTCGGTTGTCTGACGGTCGGTGTCTGTCTCTCTGCTGACCAGATGTTGGCTGCGACAGTTTTGTTGTTCGCCAAATAAAATCATTCATGCATTTTTGTATGAGCAGAGATCTTTATGAAAACAACCTGGGGCAATTTTCAATTAGCCTACTGCTTACATGCAGAACGGAAATGGTGGCAGTGTCACCTTTCACGAATGATTGTTGCCCGCAAATTGCGAGTCCTGTGGGCCTATCGCGTGCTCATGGTGACTGCAAGTATGACGTTTGTTTTGATTAATTATGTTAATGTCAAAGTGAACGAAGAGAAATGATGTTGGGCAGCTTGCATGTTGCTTATTTGGTGAGGCAGGCTCCTGATATGCTAGTCTGGACATAGGTTGTTTTCACATGTAAAATTACATTTTCAAAGTAAGCGATGACGTTCAGCTATGTGTGTGTGTGTGTGTGTGTGTGTGTGTGTATAGTTTCATAACTGTAACCTCAAGCTGATTTGAGATGGAAAAACCATAAAGTTCAGTCACATTTACACCCAGAAAACCAGATCCAGATGATGCTCCTAATAAGCACTTAAAATGTTGTTCAAAAAATTGTTTTTGTCATTTCAGCTGTTTACAGCCAAATGATGTTTACAACTGTTGCAACAATATCTAGTTTGATGGAAGCAAAGTTGACAGTATGTAGTGGCTTGTTGGAAAAGACAGAGAGATGGAAAGCCCCATCGTTCTTACACTAAAGCTGTTTTTAATCCTCACAGTCTGGGAAAAAGGAGCATCAGTTGTGTGTGTGTTAGTGTATTTGTGTGTGTCTGTGTGTCAGCAGGACCAGGACCAGGTGACCCAGTCTGACCTGACCCAGCCAGGTCTCATAAAAGCAGCATTGAGGCCTGGAGGCCCGGAGACACAGCACTGCTTTTGTTGCCCTACCCAAGGTGTATTCCCCCTGGAGGGAGAGTGAGGGGGCGAGGGTGTTACTCATTAGAGGGAAAGAAACCATTCCTTGGCTTGGGCGCACATTATTTCATAGTTTATTAGTGGAAATAAAACCGTTTCTTTATTTTTATGTATGTTTTCTGCAACCACTCGGCCCTTTTTTTCTCCCTCCTCCCATGCTGCTTTACCACAGTCCGTTCTTTCTCTTATTAATCCAGTTTCCAGTATGGCTCTAATTAATAGGACTCTGTTCACTTCTTACACATGGCCTGCCAGATGCTTGAAACTCCCTCCTATGAGCTTTCCCTCCCTTTCTTTTTCTCTGTTTCCCTCTATCTTTTTCCATCTTTTTTTTCAGCTTTCAACACTTTATTTTTTCTTCATCCCAATCCTTTTATACATCTGGCTTTCATACCAGTGATTTCAGTCTTTGAATTTGATTGGTTAAAGAGTCAACTTGGAAGGACTCAAAAGCTGCATCTGTGAAAGGATCCTCCGTCCTATATTTACTCCTTCATTCTTCAAGGTCAATTGCAGCTTTCAATGGTGCTTTAGCATGTGTGAACGCAGTGTGTTTTCCACTGATTACTTGCCCATGAACATGATTAAAGTCACAGAACATCTGTGTGTATGTTCACGTCTGTGGCCTACATGTCTGTGCTTGTATGTTTCTGTGTTCTACTCTTAGAGAGGCATGTGTATGCATGTGTTTTTCAAAAGATGTGACCATTCCCCACACCATGTCTGTAATGACTTTTATAATCACTACATACTTTGTCCAACCTGGGTTTGACATTCTTTGATGGTCAAACACAAAAGTTCTTTGTGAAAATAGATGCAGGGACTCTCCCTAACTGGCCTTCGCAGTGAAGAAAAACCACAGCAGAGCCAAGCAGTTACAGAAAAAATGTCAATATGGGAAATATGACTTTAAAAACAACACTCACTCCGCTGACTTTGTGGCTTGTGTGTGAATGTGTAATACGCACTGTATGTGCATGTGTGTGTGGGAAGAAATAACTGCTGTAACAACAAAAGGATATAGAAGAATTTGACTCTAATAATAGTAGCACAGATGCCTAATGATTAGTCAAATAGTTTGTCCACCACATTTCTATCAATGAGCATAGACTATTATTTTTATTATTATTATTTAATGTTTTATTTCATTTATAGTCTAAAATGTCCTGATATCTAAAAAATGTCTTATTGTTTGTGTATAATTAACTTTCAAGAACACCAGAAAAGATGAACCACCCAATAACATACTTAAAAATAAGAAATTCTGTTCTGACTTTATTGTGAATTTAAGTATCAACTGCCAGGTACTTAAAGGGTTAGTTCACCTAAATTAAGAAACATGTTATCTTAGGATATGGAGCAATGATGTCTGGAGCACATTTAGAGCTTTTTCATCAGAGTAAACACATTTTTTCATTTAGCTCTTGTGGTATTGAGCCATCCACACAGTTCTGGATGTGTTTGTCCAGGTTTTGATATGTCCACCCAGTACAATAGATTGTACAACATTTGGTACTTCTTTGTACTGAAGAAATAGTCCCTATGAAAACTTTTCACTGAGAGGTCTAGATTATGAAAAAATAAGATAGAAAAATTAAAATTAACAAAGTTTTTAACCTCCATTGTCTATTGAACAAATAAAACCATAATGTGCATGGCTAGGTAACACAAGAGGTAATTTAACTCCATATGTGGAACAGTTTACTTTCTTCTGTGTGTAAATTACATACATGTATCTTGTACTTGTACGTGTTTGTGAACCTGAGTTATCTACTTTAAAAGATAGATTACTTATTATTAGTTTCTCTCCCTATATATATTTTTTTCACTCTGATTAACTATGTATTATATTCATCGTAGTAGTTCAATAAAGAACATTTGTAAATTCATATTATCACTCTCTCACCCACCCCTGGTGCTTGATTCCCATGCCGAAGCAGGCCCAAAACAACAAGACATTCTTTGGCCGGGCTGTATTTACCACAGCTCCACCACAGAGAGTTAAGCTCCACCCACTCATGAAATCACTGAAGAGGATGAGAGAGTCATAGAGAAACAAGAGGGAAGGGCTGCCCTCATTTACCTTATTGACAGGGTCACAGAGCCACTACGTGAGTCCTCAGAGACAGGGAAGGTGAGACACTGTGATCATCACAAACCTTCAGTGGTTTCAGCTTCAGCCGAGGGTTTATGGCATTGGTTAGAGTGAAAGTGAGTGGGTTATGTGTGATTGTTGTTGTAAAGGGTTAATTGTACCCATGTTGTGGCTGGCTGTTCTCGGGCAGGCTGGCTAGAGTCAGGCTGGCAGAGGGAACAGAGAGACCCTTTATAATACAGTTCTGCTGATTGAAATCATATGGCATCGCCTGAAATCATTGCACTACTTTGAAGACAGACAAAAAGCAGGAGAAAAGTGTTGCACACACTCTGCCTCTCTGCCCTGTCAACTCTTTCTTCAACGCTCTTTTTGTTCTTCATCTTGTTCGCTTTTATTTCTCATCTGGAGTTCACTTTTGAGTTATTTCAGGTATTGCTCTTGTTACAGAAAGTAACTGATATTTTTATATGAATTGGTGATTTGACTTGAGGTGAGCTGTTAAGCCACTGTGCTCTCTAGGTAATAACCAGACTTTGGTTCCAGTTTCTAACCCCTTGTCTTTCTCTTCCCTCCTTTTCTAGAGTCTGGACCTGGTCAGGTCTTGGTCACGTGGTTCCTTCTCTCTTCCCAACTCTTCCTCCCTCCTCAGCATCCCTCTCACCTCTCTGCAGCCAGACAGCAGAGAAGCCAGCAGCTGAGAGGGGCTGAATGGCACCAGCCCATTTCAAACTCACCATAGGCCCCTGACGAAGACAACACAGGAGGAGGAAACAACAAGACAGAGTCAGACAGAGACGATTCACCTGAACCACTAGCTGCAGTTTTCACAATGGCAACCAACAGGGAGCACCAACTGCGTCACATGACTGGCTTCCCCCGTGCTATGTACCCGTTCACCTTTAACTCCATGCGGAGCCACTCCCCCTTTGACTTACTGGCCAGTAGCCACCTCTTTGGACGGTTTGGGGCTGACCTTCCCAAAGAGATGGCTGCATTGTGTGAGTAATAAAAATTATGTATTATTAATTTACACAACTTGCACAAACAACTGGAAATTTGCTACACATTACTGTAATAGAGCGTATTTCTCAGAAAGATGTGTGTTTATAAAAAGATTTTCCATTTGGTACATGTCATGAGTCCATTACATAGTGAAAGAGATTTCTCCTAACATACATACATCTTTAACCAACTGGAAAATACAATGTTACATTCAGCTGAAATCAGATGCTAGAAAAAATGTGTTAAAAAGTATTTTATATAATCATGAGGTTTTCAACTGGTCCAAGGTTCAATCAAGAGGCAAGAAATCCTAATCCCACAGCCTTGCCCATGACAAGACAGTGTGCCGAATATCCATGTCCTGACCAGTCCTGTTTTGTGTAAAACAGTGGAGACTCTCCACAAATTTGGAAAAGTCTTCAGGGCTAATTTGAGGTCATAATTAGGCTTTAAATCATGCACTGAGGAGAGAAGAGAAGAGAAGAGAAGAGAAGAGAGTTTAACCATGTGGTAAACCGGGTGGATGGCAGAGAGGGCAGGCTGGAAAGAAGAGCAAATGTAACATGGTTCCTTGTGTAATTTGTGTGATCATTTCAACAGATAGAAACGGAAATGTAAAGAAAGATGAGACTCATTTCAACTTGCTATAAGAGTGTTCTTGGATAGAGACCATTTGGAGTCGCAGGGGGCGCTATTGCACTTCACAGTGGCTGAGCAAGACCACAGAGTCATTGCAAGAGTTTATAGAGGGACTGACAACATTGTGTATTTTGATAAATAAGGTTGATGTTAAGAGTGTGTGACACTTTGCTTGCTTATTCTATTTTCTGTAAAAGTCTTACCTTCTTTTTGTAATGTTGTTGCAGTGTAATGATATTACTCAGACATTACAGGGTCACAACACTATTTCATTACTATTTTATGTAAACTGTGCAGCGTTCATATCAAACACTTTACACAGATACATGTTTGTCAAGTATCTCTCATCCTGTAAGAGTGATATCAGGCGTAGAAATACCTGCTGAACACTCCTGTCAGTCAGTGTGTGTGCAAATGTGTGTGTCACTGTGTGCACACATACTGTGTTCAGTGAGCAGCTGTTATCTGTTTATCTGCAGTCGTTTTCTGGAGACTCGGGCCCAACAACCAGGCTAGTAGCTCTCAGAATGTGATTACATCTTTGACATGTTGCCTCTGGGACTTTTATACATATACAGACAGAGACAGAAAGATATGAGGGGACACATTATGTCCGTCAGGATAGATGACAAAAAAGACAAAAAGAAGGTCAGGTACATACAGAATATCTAAATCAGTCACATTTATCTGTTTAAATGTATGTGTTATATATATAGAGAGAAGAAATAGTGCAGTTACATGGTGTACTTATGTAAAAGAAATGTGTAAATTCAGGCTAATATAAAGTTATTTGAATTTATTTTTAAGTGAATTGGACCATATTGCAAATGTAAAACAGATCAGTGTCAGTAATTCAACACCAATGCTTCAACAGCTACTTTTCCAGATAATTGGGTTGCTTGCTTTACCATGTTCATCTTCAAAGTAATTACAAATCAGAGTGTCATTACTACAGAATTTAGCATTTTTTCTGTACCTCTCCAACCCAGCTAGCTTGCTGACTGACAGTATTAACTGTATTAATTGTAACTGAGAGTTAGCGTATTTCTACCATTGACTCCTGTCTCATAACTGTATACAAACCTACATCCCTTTAATAAGGTGCAAACTTACTGTACGTCAGCAAACACAAGATATCTTCAGTGTTAGCTTACTCCTTCTAACATCTATCTAATATGCAGAGCAAGTGTAAGCTTGTGTGTAAGAGGGGGTAAGTGTAAGAGGAGGCATTTACAGTCATTTCTTGTGTGGTAGCTTGTTCATCAGACTCTTCACATCATAATCAATCAATGTCAAAGGAGTTGACACATTTACCCATCAGCTAGATTTAAAACATTTGATTAACTCTGTAGGTATCCCTTTTGTTGCGGTTAGCCAACAAGGTATTTCAGTTCTGATTATTTTCATTAAGGAAAGCTAACCATGCAAATAATGAGACCATTATTTATGATCAAGTGAAGCTACAAGAAATTACTTATCTCTCATTAGTGCAAAGTGAACAAAATTATACAAAATTACAGTCGAGGTTTAAGTGGGATTTGTAAATTAATTCAATCCAGGTCCTAATCAGTGCATGTGGAAGACTGGACTTTGTTCCCTAATGAGATGAAAATCAAAACGTCCCTGCACTTGAAATTAGCGGATATCCACATCAAAAGCTCCCTGCACTGCATTCAATCATACATTAAGCTCTGTCTTCTTTTCCTAATAGCAATAGGAACTCACGACCAACTCTTTTTCACCAAAGCTTTTCTGCCCAGTGCTTCCTGGAATTATGATACCATCTCTGGATTTTATTCAGGAATAAGTAAATATTTCTCAGACACTTTTTGGAACAATGTATTTTGTCTTTTCTCATGACATCAGGATCAAAATTCTGCCTACATTGAAATCTCTTTTTTTTATGAAAAGGAAGAAATCTCACTGTAGTGATCACGAGGAAAAGAAGTGTATTTTTCCACAATGAACACAATGTCCTTTCGTAATTTCTGTACTAGTCACATCTTGTTCTTTGTAATGTTACAAGTGTGTGTGTGTGTGTGTGTGTGTGGTGTGATATTAGTAACTTGAACCTAAAGGCACAGAGTGAGGCTTGTGTGTTTTTCTTTGTGTCTTTCATCACAGGCACTCTGTTTAAGCACATACACACATAATTGTCCATGCGTCCGAACACACATGCACAGGATGCACAGGAACGCACATTTCCACTGCCACTCTGTGGGCTGCACATTCCAACACCCATGAATATCACGAACTAGCAGTCCGGCGCTCCTTGCCTCACATTTGTGACTATATTTGTGCTCCCGCTGATGACCGCAGTGAGACTTTGTGCAAATATCTGCGGCTGAGCTGGAGGAGCTGCTGCTGGAGGAACAGACAGAGAGAGAGAGAGAGGCCATTGTTCAGCTCTGTGTGTTTGTGTCAGACATGACGACTGGATGAATAGCCGGAGAACCTGATTGTGAATAGTTGTAATGTGACTCGACCCTTTTGCAAATTATTTGTGTGCATGTGAGAAAGGCAGAAAGCAATTTGTGCAACTAAAATAGTGGGAGTGAGCGTATGTTTTTCTTTAAAGTAAAAGAAAATTAGGCAACTTTTTTTTTTCTTCCTCACAATCACCCTGCATTTGTGTGTCTCTTTCCTCAAAGCAGCAACAGGGGGCAGGGTGCTGTGAGGCGGGGAGGGTAATTGTCTCAAGGTGTGGAGAGAGCTCAGCAGGCTGATACTATGCAGCTCTGCTCCCTGCAGTGTGTCATTGTAATGTGTGTGAGTGTGTGTGGCTCTGGGCCATGATGGTGAAAGACAGGTAAAAAGTCCCCAATCACTGAGAACAAGAAGAGGAGGAGATAACTTAAAGAGCGCCTGCAAGATGATCCTGTTATTCTCCATAATAATAATGTAAAACATATAAAGAAATGGATTCAGGGAGTTGAGATAAATATAAACAAACGCACAAAGAACAGGAGAAAAACAAAGAAAAATAGAGAGTTGTAACACACATGAGCAATATGAAACATATGAAGCCACAGGCAGGACAATTTGGAAAGTGTGTGTGTGTGTGT